CGAAAAAAGGCTTTCAAGTACTTACTAGCACATAATGCAACAACATGCTCGTTCAAGACATGCATCTATACTCTTGTCTCCTCCCTTGCCCTCTCATCCTCTAACATCCTTCGTCTCTCTAATCCCCATTTGTCAAGCCCAACATTGATCGGGTTACGAATACCACGCTATCTAGCAAACTCACGCATCTTGTTTTTGTGATGTTTAATGAATAGGTTGACGTAGTCAGGTCCATATCCTCTCTTATGTACATTTACTTGCCTCCCCTTCAGTTTTATCCAAAAACTTAGCTTGACCCTCATAACATTCTCACCTGCATTTCCTAGTGTTTTGTTCAAACGAAAAATTATATAATATATGTCTTAGCAAAAGAAACAAAATACGATATCTTGTTTACCACAAAAATAACCAACCTCATCACAGTCAACCATATGGCTGCAATAATGGCCTATTCCAAGCTCCGAATGAACTAGACCGTAGTTGAATTTAACACCACATTCGCACTTGACTGGAGGTGCTTTGTAAATTAACATTTCTTTCTTCTTTTCCTTTGCTTTTGGTGGCTCTGGCCATTGATTCTTAGGACCATAGAGCCACTCCTTGAAATGACACTTCACAAATCCATACACCTAAAAGAGGAGACATTAGTACACGCACACCTATAGAGATAAACAATTAAACAGATACACTTTCCACTTACTTCGTGTTTGTTCGGACACACAAACTCCAACGTATTCTCAGGGTTTATCACAGCTCGATCTCCGTATTCACACAGAGGAGGTTCCTCGAGTCGTCTAAATGCGGCTAGGTGCTTCTCCTCAGCCGTTATTGGCGGGGGTTAAGGGGGGTGGAACCCACCGTTTGAAGTGCTCACGTGGTTGTCTTCCTCTAAACCAATCATCGAAAAGAAGATACTTAGGGTCAAACTTGTCTACATCGTCGATCCACTGAAAGAAAAAGCACCTCTCATGGTCCTACACAATAAGATTCCAACAAAATATTAGTAGCATACTTACACAAATAAAGAAAAAAGATAGTGGAAACAATTACTTACATTAAAACGACGGCATGTGTAGAAGCAACGTGCCGCTGTGTCTGGATGTCTCGATTGAAACACGTGGACCGGGAAACCACAGTCACAGTTAGGGACAGGGAGGTCAGGAGGAACGGGGGCATCTTTGCTAGACGTGTCGGGTATAATTCTCAAGGACGATCCCGTTTTCGCCAAAACTTCTCCCAATACATTTCTTGCATATAACAAAACGGATGTAATTTAACAAACAAAAATCAAAACATCACAAATTAATATCAATAAGAACCATAACTACAATACAACTAATTTCGTTCTAAGAACCGAAAGCAATTAACATTAAACCTTAAACCTAGGCTTTCCCATTTGATGCATAACAATGAACCCATAACATAACTGCATGCGCTGCGGTTACCTAGGTTTGCTACCTTTTTCACGCCTTGACATCATTCTACGGTTGTATAATACAAATATTGAGGGATAGAATGAAACCCTAAGTAATGACGATTCTTAGGTTGAAAATTTCAACTAATATATACCGAATCGATGCGAAAAAACTAGGAGGAAAGCGAGGATACCTTGCTCTCAAAGATCTACGGATCAAATCAAAGTTTTCAAGATCCAATATGCCGATTCGAGAGATAGGACGAAGTGGGAAGAGAAAAAACTCGAGAGGGAGGAGAAAGAAGAGGAAAAAGGCTCGGGCAGGAAGGTTGGGGCCGGGGTTAAAATACCACCTCGGCGCCATAGATCATGACGGCGCCAAGCTTGGCGCTTGGATCTATACGTCGAGCTACCTGTCAAGTCACCGCCACGTCTGCATCGAGCCCAAGATCTGTGGCGCCGAGTAGTGTAAGCTCGGCGTCAGCAACTATGGCGCCGAGGTAAGATTCAAATTTTAAAATCTTATCTCTAAAGGCATATTTGTGTGTTTTTTTTAAAAGACTAAAAAATAAAAAATTGGGCCACCCAGGTTGGCACCTAGACGCTGGAACAAAACATCAGGGTGATCCTTTCTGACGAAGATATACTATTCGCTTTGGGTCTTGTATTTTCACACGTGCGACGAATAGTATATGCGGAATGCACGGTGTGTCCGTACGTTCTTTTGGAAGGGAGACCATTTCTCATGCACGCGCGCTCAGCCTGTTTCTGAATCTCTAATGAAAATTGGACCCGGAACCGGTGAGATCCAGCAGCTGAAAGCAGAAGAAAAACATTGGCTAATTATGGATTAATTATGTTTAATAGATTTGTTTTGCTAATTAGTTTACTTCCGTGCAATTAGTTTTAGATTCAGGGGTTAAAGTGTAGTCGTGTTACATCAGACGTTCGAATGCTAATTAGGAGGGCTAAACATGAGCTAATTATAAAACTAATTGCACAGGAGTAGACTAATTAGCGAAACAAATCTATTAAGCCTAATTAATCCATAATTAGTAAATATTTTACGGTAGCACCATATTGTCAAATCATGAACTAATTAGACTTAATAGATTCGTATTGCAAATTACTCTTAATTTATGTAATTAGTTTCGTAATTAGTCTATGTTTAATACTCTTAATTGATATCTAAAGATTCGATGTAACATGACTAAACTACTCTTAAACAAACACAGCTTGAAACTTTATCCCTGTATAGATTTTGATATATGCATGAAGTAAAATATAGACTAATTACGTGCTAAATGCACGAAAGAAATTTACGAGATGAATTTTTAAGCCTAATTAAACTTTAACCTGTGCAATGATGGATTACTGTTGATTTCTTTACTTTGTTTTATTATTATTATCCGAATACTTGATGTGACACTCCTATGTAATAACTGATGTGATATATCTAAACTTTAACCATGGATTTAAACACTCTCAGCTAAAAGTTCACAACCTGCCAAGTCAGGCACAAACTAAACTCACCAACACCAAGTATTGAAAGATTCATTTGTGAGATGAATTTTTAAACCTAATTATTATTGATCCATGATTTAATAATGTGGTGATATGATTTCACTCGGGTCTCGTGTTAATGATGGATTAACACGCCACCTTTCTTTACTTTCCGTGGACTGATTTTATTATTGGCAACTCAACTATCCAAATACTTTCGACCAACCTCGACACTCTCATGTAATAACTGATGTGACATATCTAAACTTTAACCATGGATTTAAACACTCTCAGCTAAAAGTTCACAACCTGCCAAGTCAGGCACACGTGGTTCCCATCCCTCCCAAAACTTTTCCTCAACTCACCAACACCATCAAGTATTCCGTGGAAAGATCGACGAGGAGAAAAGACCAGTGTCCTTAGTCTAGGAGGATGAGTGAAATTGCCATTTGTCCTGTATTCCACTCCTTGGGACCAAGCGTTTGGCGCGAGGAAAACGGATGGCGTTCATTTGGCTTTTCGTTTGATTACCCGTGTTGTTTAGTAATAATAATGCTCTCTTTCTTCCCTTTGATTTATATAAATAGTAGTCTCTTATGCTGAGGCAGCCTTTGTCCCTACCGTGTGTGTGCCAGCCAGCGTCTCCTCCGGTCGATCCCGGTCCAGCTAAACCCCACCACCGTGATCGATCGATGAATCGATCTGCTGCGGCATGCGGTATATTATGCACATTCCACGTGCCCCATCCGAACACGCCACCTTTCTCGGTCCACGCTTGTGGACCGTGACCGGCGACCGTAGATCCCACCCGGCAAACTCCGCCAAAATGACAGCTCAACTCAATCCACTGCCTTTGCCACCCAAGCTTCACCAACCCCGCGACGCTTCACCACCATAGCAGATTCGCGCCCGGAGGGGGGGGGGCGCAGCGGCGACGTACGCGCGCTGTACAACAACTCGTGGGCTGGAGTTGGCTGTGAACAGCTCGCTTATGCGTCTTGCACACTTTGCGCTGCATGCACCGGCAAGCATGATCGATCGATCGCGCGCGACCCGGACCGCCACACCGCGACGCGCGTTAACCACCACGGCGGCGCATGTCACCAGGCAGGACAGGGAGGAGTCTCTTCGGCTCGTCGCTATAGCTTACCTTCGATTTGCATCGATCGCTTTGGATATGATTGCCGTTTTCCGATATATGATATTGCATGTCTACGCTCCTACTCGGTCAAAATAATGACACCGACCAATGCATTGGAAAGCGTGAGAATGGTGGTGTAACCTTCACGAATGAAAGCTAGCGAGAGATTCACATCCACATGTATGTTTTGTCATAGGTTTGCTTGTATTCCAATTATATTAGAAGATATTTTCCTCAAAAAATATTATAAGATATTTGTCTAAGTTACACCCATTGATTGTTGCAGGGGGCGATGATGATGTTGTGAACTGGTCACATGGAAAGGAGCTGTGGAAACTAGCAAGGGATCCTTATGACCCACTCTGGATCAAAGGGGAGATCACAGGGAGCTGTACTATTCATCCGCCACCTATCCGAGTTCATCCGGAGATGGAGAACATCACAACAAAGATCCGCTCAAGAAGATCAGCCGTCCTGCAGCCTCCCACCACCGGAACAACACCGACGACAACCTTCATCGCCGCTTCGGTTGACCCTTCCCATTCCCATCCCTCCCGCAGGCGGGCGAAAACCGGGGCGCCAAACGCTCGGGTCGTTTTGGCACACAAACGGCGGCTCATCCTTCCTAGACCGAGGGTACTTCGTTTTTTCTTCTCGCCGTTACACATTGTTACCAAAAAAATGGACCAGAGCAAAGCTCCCGTATCACCCGCACCTAGATAAATCCAAACTTTTTAATGACACGTAGAAAAAAATCATCTTTTTTAATAGTATACATGGAAAAGGCTCCAAAACCGGGGCCCTTTTCTACGGCTCCCCCACCTCTCGTACCGAAACCAAGCCAAAGCTCCCGTACTCCCGTCCCACCCCCTCCCTGCCAACGCTCTGCGCCAACGAACGCGTCCTCGAGTCAAACCGCGCCCGGAGCCACCAGCCGAGCGCATGGAGGCCGCGGCGACGACCGCGCTCCCGTTCGCGGCGGGGGCGGCGGCAGCCTTCTTCCCCGCTGCCGCCGGGAGTGCGCGGGCGGCGAGGTGCGCGCGTCCGCGGACGCGGCGGTCCGTGGTGGCGAAGCTGGAGGACGGGCTCGGGAAAGGGGTGCCCACCACCAACTACGTGGTGCCGCTCGACAAGGCCACCGGGATGACGCGCCCGCTCGTCGAGATCCTGCGGGACCTCAACAAGCGCGTCCCCGACAAGATCATCGACCCCGACACCGACACCGTCCACTGGTGAGTGCTGCTGGCGAGACGACGGCCCCCGTCTCGTGTGCGCCGACTGCTCGCTCTCATCCTTCTCGCGTCTGGTTTCACTTTCACCTGCCTGCCCGGTCACCAGCTGGTCGTTTTAGAGGAGAATGCGTGATCCTTTGCTCTCTGGGAGGATTTTTTTTTGTTGAGATTCCATAGTCAGAATCATCTATGCGAATTTGCAGCTATTTAGCCTGTTGATGGGCGTAGGCAAATTGATGCTGAGAACACGCATTTCATGGGATGGAACGGCTTTGCATTGAATATATACGGTGATATGTCATAGGATTCCAACTGTAGTATTAACTACTCCGTAGGTTGGTCAGAATTCTTATCAATCACTAGTAGCTGTAATTTGTCGTACCTTCCTTCTAAGAGCACGTTTGGTCAGGTTGATGGTGGTGTTGATTGCTGCTGTATTTTCTGCAGTTTCAAGGCTCCATTCCAATGGATTATCAGAAGTTTCCTGTATAACTTGTTATTCCAATAAGTTTTTTTTAGAGAACATGTGCGTAGCCAATGGTCAACTGTTCCATAGTACGTTGAATGAGTTCTGAATTTTAAACAGGTTGGCTGTTCGGTTGGCCAGTTCATATCGTTGCTGGTTCGTGAAGAAATACTGCTGGCTGGTTTGTGTGAGAGAAAAATACTGTTCCGGCTGAAAAATTATGATCATTTACGACAAGCCACAGCTAAATGAACAGCAGTGCTGGGTCGCTGTTCTTTGTTTAGTTTATTAAAAGGGATCTCTCTGACCTTGGAATGTGTATAGTGGATAAAGCTCATATGGATCCTGGCATCTATGCCTGGTCATATCGACCTTTTCAAATCAACCTACCTCGATTGAAGCTGATCTTTTGGGGTTGGTCTTAAAAAACCATGTCTTCATTTTTTTCACTGTACAAATTTTAATGTGGTGCCATATAATTAGCTTGATATAAACTGTCCTACTCAGTGCACTAGTGCCACTAAATTAGGTAAAGTCATGCAGTTCAACCTCTTTATCATTGGTCTAGCCATCGATCTCTTCAGCCAGTAAATAAAATTAAATAGTATATGATTCTACTTTCTTCCATTTCATAACACATGGATAAAATGTTGTTAATATGTACATCCACATTCTCCATGCTGAACCAGTCGTCCTGTCTATTTGTGTTACATCATAGCATTTCTTCTGTCATGAGTGTGTATTTGCTGGATGCATAATTACTTTGGTCATCCAACACTGCTTCTATTCTCTTGATATGCAAGGCTGTAGGTATATATGTCCTTGGTTGTGATGACAAGGGACTGTTCAAGAATGAATTAACACACAGCACAATCATTTACACTTGACACTAGTTGTGCTAAGTATTAACATGGTTTCTCTCTTTACATACAAGAAGGTTTTTCACTTATTTAATGATATGGAATGGCTACGGATAGATGGATTAGCAGAGAAACCCAGGATAGCCGCCGTTTCTCGGGGACTACCTTAGGATTTCTTCTTGCTTGATTACAATCAATACCGGATTCTCTCTTTTATAGAGACAACTTACTTGACCCCTAAGTAATATCCTAACCGAATCAATCTATCTTATTCCTTTCCTAACAAACCAAACCAATATAATCTAATCTAATCCGGTACTGTCCACGCGCTACAGTACCGCGTGGGCCCCTGGTCCGGCTCCACTTGCCATAACATTTAAGTATTTGTCTGATGCTTATCTCTCAATTAATAGGCAAGAATGTGCCATGCTCAAGGATACTGATACTGATTGCATCTTGATTGTGCAGGTACCATGCCAACAGAATGCTTAGCTTTTACGCACCAGGTGAGTTCTCTTTAGGATTTGAAACCGTTTTATGATTTGTTTTCAATTAGCAGAAATTTGATCCCCCCCCCCCGCTAATTTACAACATTGGTTCTTCAAGCTTGTGTTTTGGATGCATGTTATTGTTATTTAGTGTGTTCATAGATTTCGTGCTCAGCTGTGCAAATAACTAGCTTATAGCCTTATACCATGCCACACTTGTTTTAGAGAACTGAAGATAGCTTTCCCCACTTCACAGTCATTGTAGATGTTTATGTAATGTTTTACCCCATTAAGTCATTGCTTGTCTAAACTATTGCTTAGATGTTTTAAATGCATGTCTGTTGGATATCTGAACTGTTATGACTGGAGACAATGGAATAACAAACATTGTGCTCTCTCAAAAAATTGTGCAGCTGTATAGCTAGGTGCTGGTTTCTTGCAAAAGCACCTGTCTGTGTTCAGAGAAGTCACTGATAATTCCTATTTTCAGGTTGGTGTGGAGAAGTTCGTGATGTTATTTATTCTGAGAATGGAACTGTAACCGTGGTATATCGAGTGATACTTAAAGGAACTGATGGAGAGGTACCCATTTGTTTTATCATCTTTCATTGTGGTCCTGTTGTACTGATGCAAATTTAAAGTGGCAATTTCAAGTTACATGGCCTAACTGCGTCATCTTTTTTTCTTTCTTTTTAGACCAACTAGAATACATTGGAAAAAAACATCTTTATCAACTAGTGTACTTGCATCTTTGTGGGTGTAGGCATATAGAGATGCCACGGGTACAGCACAGGTCCATGAGTGGCGCAGGGAAGATGCTGTTGCCGCCGCGGAGGAAGCTGCATTCTGCAAAGCCTGCGCGCGGTTTGGTTTTAGCCTGTACCTGTACCACCAGGATGATACTCATCACGACGACCACTTCCATTGAGGCTCAGTCTGCATCAGAGCTGGTCATAAGTTGCAACGTGCGCAGGATATGCCCCTGGAGAACTTCGTGTCCAGAATCAATTTTTGCTCTTTGCGTAGTATCATATTCATATCACAAGCGACAAGGCATGCTTCCACCTGAATGTGATTGTAGGTAAAAAGAAGGCCGTAACTTGTTTCTGTTGTTCTCGTTGGTGGCTCGATGCCATCCTACAAGAACCTATCAGCGTGATGGGTTGTCCGAACCGGGCCGTTATATGGCCCATCCCACATCCTTTGGTGTATTTCACCCGTGTTTGGATGCCCTACTCGCACTTTTCTCCTGCTTCCTCTCGTGCATATGCCCTCCTCCATCTCGGACGGCACCGTTTTCTCGATCTCCACTTCCCTCTCGGTGCAGGCCCGCGCGGTGCTTGACGGGAACCTTTTCGGAGAGCGCGGGAGATGAGGCCGTCCTGACGATAAAAGCGCGCGCGGGGGTCGCGGCTAGGGTTACCGCCCTCATTCTTCGCCTCCTTCCGCCATAGCTCTAGTGCGAACTCCCCTCTAGCCCCCCCCCCCTCGACCTTGGTAGCCTTACCGAGGCGATCACCGCCGGCGGATTTCTCTCGGTCCTCCGGCGCTTCGATGGTATATGCCACCTACGCTCTTCTCCTCCTTCAGTCTCGATTTTGTTGATTTATCTGTGGATTTTGTTTGCAATGCCAAGAAATTAGGGTTCTTGGTTTGACATCCTCAGATCAGTACGATGTTATACCTGATTTACCTGTTTCTAGCTCAGATCTGTATATGATGCTTCGTATTTGGTGTATACCTCATGTTTTCTGTAGATCTTGTACATGCTTATGTCTATTTTGTTGTACACACTGAGCAAAGTGCCTAGAGATCAGTGATGTTGATTGTGTAATAGTATACGCTGGAGGAGCTCCCTTTGGTGTGGCAGCTGCGTATTTCATAGTTCATTTTATCTGATTTTTTGCTTGCTAAGCAGTACACATCTATGTTGCATGCTCCCTTTCTAATGTTGCCCTCCATCCTGTTGGTAGACATGGTCTTTGAAGCTAGACGCAGGGCTGCCGCTGCTGTGGTTGTTGCAGTGGCTGCTTGGTTTTTCATGTGGTTTAGGAGGAGAGTTGAAGATTCCCGCTCAGTCACCTATGGTCCCATGGCTAAGAGGGACAAATAGAGGATGAACAACCTTAGATACATCTGCATAGGAGCAAATGATGGTACTCATGTCTTGCTAGAGTGCCTGTGAAGATGCAATCTGAGGTGGCTGTGCTTATTATTCATGTTGCTGCTTTATTGTGTTCCACGCTTCCATGGCAGCCATGAACTTGCCTCTCCACATTTGTGTTCTTATTTGCCACCTGGGATGATTGCATATGTTATCAAGTTTGTTTGCAGTTAGCTGAGGCCTGCATTGTTTCTAATTTCTATCTTGACTGAGGCTAGTACAATTGTGAGATTTTTTTCATGCCTATGATGATAACAGTGCCGGTTTGAGTAATGGATTATAAAAACTAATGACCTTGGACTTGTGAGGTACTGGAGGATTATTTCTTCTATCTTCTACTTATGGTTCCTTGCCTGTCATGATGTTGGGTTTGTACTATCTGTTTGAGGTTTGTTGTTGTCTATGTTCCTTAAGCTCCAAGTGCAAGGTCAAATGAGATGGCAATTAAATCTGAGGTAAATCGATTGAACTAACTTTCATCTTATCAACATTTTATACTTGGTTTTACGTGTTTTTTTAAGGGGCACATGGCTTGTTACGTTGTCTATCGGGGAAAGGAGCCTGGGGTCTATGCAACCTGGCCTACATGCCATGCCCAGGTATCTGGTTTTGCAAACTGCTGCTACAAGTGTTTGTGAAACCTCCTTGCAGTGCTTCGGGCAACCAATCAAGCCCTAAAATACCTTGGTTACTGGCTATTGCTTTGGTTCGGTCGTTTCTTTTGATGGTGCTTGTCTTTTTCATTGCTAAGCATTGTTGTAGGTGCCTCAAATTGTTTCATATTGCTGTGATGGTTTCAAAATGCTATAAACACGTGTAAAGACAATGATCTTGTGAGGAACTGTGACTTTTGTTGTTCATGATTTGCTGGGAGTACTATTGTCAGGTTTACTTATGTCATTAGAAGCTCCAAGGTTATTGTCAATGCCAAGCTTATTGAACTGAGGCAAATTTATCTTTGTTTCCTTCTATTGTTTTTCATTCTGCAATAGCTGGTGGTAACCACACCAAAACGGTACACGGGTGCTCGCACCTCAGGCCGTGTGCCCAACCAAACACAAACGCTACCACCACTTCATATAGCAAAACGATCAACGGGGGCAACCAAACAGAATCAATGTCATCCAGGACAGCTAAGCTAAACCAAACCAAACAAAGGTGGGTGAATGCTTTTATGCCGGCTCGAAAGAGCATGGACAAGGCCACCATCCCGGACCGTCGACCTCGGAGCAACCAATCACGCCCGATGAACCCAATCCAGATAGGAAATCAGTATGGAAATTCTGCTGTTGCCTACTTACCTGATTGTAGTATTCCTTCATCTCATGAGGTGTAGCTGTGTAGGTGCATTTGTTCCTTCTTCCATGGTGCCAGATTCTATTTGCTTGTCTCTTTGTGTGCACATGAGACGATCATATTTAGTTAGCTGTTAATGTTGCGGACTCCTGCCTTTTCCTTATCGGCGGTCATATTATATTATTATGTGATCGCCGGGCACCATTGTCTTTTTTAGTATGATGAAGTCTGGTTATTATTTAAATGAGTATATTAGTTTTGTGATTATGATATTTTACTACTCTCTCTATTCAAAATTATAAGAAGTTTTATTTTTTCTAAATACATTGCTTTTACTATGTATTTAGATATAGCGTATATCTAAGTGCATAGCAACATCTATGTATCTAGAAAAACTGTAACACCCTAAATTTTGCATATTTTTGAAATAGGAGAAAGTGATTAATTTTGCATTTTGTGGGAATTTGAATTTAGGAAATAATAATTTTATTAAAAATAAAATCAAATATAAGGATAGAAACATGTTGATGCATACATGCTGCTGTATATTTATTTTGTGATGATTGGTCTTGATTCAAAGTCCAAATGAATTCAAAATCTAATTGAAAATGAATTTGGAAGATTGTTGGAAAAAGGAAAAGAATTTTTTTTTCTCCTCTCCCTCCCTTCCTTGATTCTCGGCCCACTCCTCCCGCCAGCCCAGCTCCCTCTCCCCTCCCCCTTCTTCTCATTTCTCGCCGAGGCCCAGCCTAGCGCCGGCCGCCCGCTTCTCCCCTTCCTCCTTCCTTCCTGGGCCGGCCCAAGTCATGCGCGTCGCTGGAAAACCGCCGCCGCACCTTCCTCTCTCGCTGCCAGCCGGGCCCGCTGGTCAGTTTCTCCTCCCTCCTCTGCGTTGTGCGCAGCCAAAACAGCAACCGCCGCCGCGCCCACGCTCCAAGTCGTGGGAGTGTTCCCCGCTCCTCGGCCACGTTAAATGGGAGCCCGTACCCGCCGCCACTCCCCCTGCTGCTCCCTTCCCCAGTTCTCCTCGCGCTCACCGCAAAAACCGCATCGCAGCGGCTCGTCGGATTCGCCGTCCGCCGTCCCGTGTCGCACGCCGTCCTCATTCCGTCTCTGCCACCGGTATCGCCCGTGGTGAGCTCGCCGTGTCCTTATCTGTCTCCCCGTGCATCCCTCGCATCGGTTCGTGGCTTCTAGGGCCGGTTGCATGTGCGCAGTCGAGCCTTCTCGCTGCCGGCCATGGCGCGCGCCGCGCGGGCCGATTCCCGGCCGTGTTGGACCCCGTGGTGGACCCGCCACCGTCCCCGCTTCCTTCCGGTGCCCTCGGTTCATCGAACCGTGGCCCATAGGGCCTTAACTGACCATGCCAGCGAGCTCCTCGCCGCCGGCAATGGAGAGCCGCCGCGGCTGCCCCTGTTCCCTGCCGGCGCACTCTCTCTCTCCTTCCCATCTCTAATCGGAGCCATTCGTCCTCGATCCAACGGCCTAGGATGGCCGATACCCCTTCGCGGGTGATTTTGCATAAGAGCCCCTGGACTTTTCTAAGTCTTAACCCGTAGCCCAAAACGTATTTCCTCGAATGCGCAATCTCGATTAGAAAGCGTAAATTCCACGGCTTAAGTCAAAAGTACGCTTTCAGTATTTACAGAAATGCCATTTGAACTGTTTCGCTTATAAAATTGTCGTTTTAGCTCCGAATTGATTCATTCAAATCGCGTTAGCTTCGTAATTTCATAAGCTACATGTTAGAAATACTGTTAGTCAAGTTTGGAACTTTTTAATTTCATGATTAGATTTAATTAAATATATGGCTATAGGAAAACCCGTTTAAATCATAACTTTCGCATTTTAGCTCCGTTTTTCGTGAACTTCGCGTTGACGTGATCGTAGCGAGACGTAGAATATGTTTACAAATATTTTATCTTGTTTTCAATACTGTTGGTGTACTGTTCTAATGATAGGAATGTTTGCTTTGCATGAATGCTTTTGGAATGTTGTATGTTGCCGTGTTGGTCGCGTTTAGACGATGAGGAAAACGTTGGAGACCAAGAACTCTTCGACGACCAGCAGGACCAGCACGAGTTTGTGAACCAAGACAAGTATAACATGGGCCTTCCTTGATGTCCTATTTCACTTTAATCAATTACTCATTTGCGTGTGTCTAATTTTGATACCCGTAAGGACATCCTAGTGATTGTTATCCTGTTCCTTGTCTCCTATGGGTTAAATGCATATGGGTAGATTGCTAGTGCTCTAACTGTACTTGATATATATGTTGATGAATGATACTATGGAACAAAGTGAGTAACATGATTTATAACAACTGTTCCATAGGGCTTAAAGTGCAAATGACCTTTGTTCATGTTGCTCTGACCCTCCATAAGGACTTATCTCTGTCGGCAAAAAAGCGGGACCGACAAAGGCAACCGTGAGGGTCATATGGCTCTGACTTTAGCTCAGAATAGGAC